GGGGGGCATTTTTCCCCCCCCCCCCCCCCAAATCATCATCATCAAGTTATTTTTTACAACTTTTAATACACTTTTTATGAAAAGATTACATTGTAAAAAATAATCCGACACCGATGATCAGATCCTGCAAGAACTGCAACTGTATCAGAATTTGCATGAACTGCACTTCTATGGGTCATGGTGCTTGTGGAGGGGTCTCATTTTTTGGGGGGTGCCCCTCAGCCCTCGATGCCAAGCAAAGTACTGGATAGTATCAAAATGGCACTTGTGGCCCAATTGGCATGGCGTGCCAGTTTGAAGGGAGGAGAGGGGAGCCATTTTTTTAATCAACAAAACAATATGGGGCCCATTCACATTATGCATTGGAAAGGAAAAGCATGGTATCTGTGCGTTCAGCGCACGCTATCGCACAGCGCACTGCACCGCGTGGTGCGTCGTGTTGCCATTCGTTCTGAATACACGCATGACTTCTATTCAGCGTACAGCAGCTCAGTGCACGCTATTACGGTACCATGCATTGCAGTTCAAGCCCATCTGCCAGCAGACAGGTTGGGGCGCCATTTAGAATGAACGGCAAAACAACGCGCCAACACACCCAGCATGTGGTGCAGTGTGATGGTGTGCGCTAAAGGTACGGTATGCATGCCATTTGCACACGCCATCGCACTGCACCGCATGCTAGTGCATTGTCTTGCTGTTCATTCCGAATGGCACCCCAACGCACCTCCCGGATGGATGGACTTGCATTGCAATGCATGGTACCTCAATAGCGTGCGTTGCATTGGCATGTGGTGAATAGAAGTAATGTGTGTATTACTTCTATTCACCACAATGGAATGCACCATGCGGCGCAGTGTGCTGTGCAATAGTGCGCGCTAAACGCGCGGAAACCATGCCTATAGTGCATGCTATGGCGTGAGTCAGCCCTTAGAAAGAAAATAAGTCAAATATAATCAAAGTATATAAATGAATCTAATTGGGTGACACTCAGGGGTTTCTATATCACTGTTTTCACTCATTTACCCAAGATTCACACACTTTTCACCTAAGAATAAAGTAGAAAATGTGTGAACCTTGGGTGAAACCTGTATGAATCATAAAGCACTGTGTATCATAAACAACTGCCATAAGTATATTGGCGTTCACTTTTTCTTTTCATCCTTCCTTGCATCTCAGTGGTGCTGACCTCCTGCAGCCTTTACACTCACTTCCTGTCTCTAGGCAGCGTCGGCTGTACATCTTTGCTCTGGTCCGGCTTCCTGATAATGACAGCGATGGACCACGCCTGTGCAATGCGTGTCGGCACATCAGGGGTTGCAATTGACAGGGTGACAACGCGAGCAGCAGAATTGGGATGCAGTTGTCACCCCGTAACTGGAAGTGTCTTCATGGCAGGATCACGGGGGATTAGTTTAATGAGCGCTGCAGATTCATAAAGACTGGAAACAACTTTTGGAATGAACGCGACCCGGGAAAGATTCGATGAGATTTTAGTGATTGGGCTTTCATCGGATTTTCCTTATCTGGAGCTTTGGGAATCGGGGGGTCAGTGGAGGGGAAGTCTCGTCGTTCTCTCATCTCTCGTATTATTATGTGTCACCGGAAAAATGGGATGATTGGGATGATTGCGACACGAATTCCACCCCGAGGGTCAGTGACCAGGGAAATGCCACGAGCAGAGTTCACCAATGACCTCATGTCACTGGATTTCAGGAGGACCCGTGAGTCACAATTCATGGAAAATGTCCCCCATCCCCCCC